GTGTGTCCCTCTAACAAGGTTCTATATGTCAACACTTCAATTTTTCAGTAGTGATAGTTTTAGCATAAACATCCAGCTAGTGTGCATAGCCAGTGTGGCTAGACAGAATAAAAGGTAGAGTTATAAGTTATATCATCCATCTGCCACTGTAACTGCAGAATTGTTCCTCATATTTTCCCATACTTTGTAGAGTCTAGTTTTAAATGCCCTAAAAGTTGAGACATGGCCTCTAGCACCTCTATTCCACAGTCTATACAGAGCTCTCACTGTTATAGAGTTTTAGATGATTTTCCAGCAGAAGTTTCTCTTTTCTCCATTTCATCCTAATATACCTGTCTGCACTTCTGGGACCAATTCAGCCCTGGCATAAACAGACAAAACTCCATGGAAGTTGGAGTACCTCACAGAGGGGTTGTAGGGCTTAATTAATGTCTAAAAACACAAAGTCCTGGTCTATGCTAGAAAAGGTACATGTTGCTCGAGAATACATGTGAGTTGCACATCGTATGGGTCACTAAACAGCTTGCTACACTTCCACCTATTTGCACCTCTGACTGCAGAATCTCTATTTTGATACACTCTGGATGAAAGCCGACTTATCTAAACCAGATTTACATCCACTTTGCACTACAGTCACGGAGGATCCAATCCTTCTCAGTTGTACATGGGGTTAGCTGCAAGTGTAGGCCAGACAAGTCAACACAGTTTAGGAAAATCACTTTCTCTAGCATTCCCCATTTGCAGAAGGAGAAAATGGTTTGCCAAAGGACACAAAAAGGAGGCTTTGCCGGAACCAAACTAAAACTCAGTTTCCTGGCTCCTGGTACTATGCTCATAGCCCACCTCTCTGCTGTGGGGAAGAAAGGCCTGTAAGCAGTATCTAAAACAGTTTAAACGATTAGTGTGTTTAAACTACTGTTTTAACACACTAATCATTTAACATACATTGTTATGAGTGATATAAAGGGTTAAAACAATCTCTAATAGCATTTACCTGCAACTGTGAAATAAGGTATTATAAGAATGAAGTATAATTCTCATGCTTAGTACTTCCATAGCAATTTTTCTCCATGCATATTAAAAGCCCTTTTCAGAGTTTGTTTATTGACCTTATTTAGGGGTGACGGCACAGAGTGGTTCAGTGGCTTGCCCAAGGTCACACAATGAGTTTGTGGCACAATGGAAAAGAGAATTCATGTCTCCTTACCACCAGTCTGATATTCTGATAAGCAGACTAAACTTCTGACTAGATTTAAAAGCAATCAACATGGTTTCTGGATCAAATACTTGTCTCATATTACAGAAACCCTGTATTAATACTGGGGTTCAAACTGAGTGAAACTTGTAAAGACTGTCCAAATATGCCAGCATGAGCAGGACTGAATGAGTTAACAGCCAAAAGTAAAGTTTAAAGCAGGATTTTCTGTACAGAACAATAGAAGTTCCTACATCATGCTGCCAAAATGAGAATGCTTAGGTCAGTGGTTCCCAAACTTTAACAACCCATGAACCCCTTTCACTAAAATGTGAAATCTTGTGAACCCCCTCCTAAAAATGAATATTTCCAGGGATTTAAGTTTAAATCTCCTCAGTGTGATGCTAACAACCAACAAACTAGAAAATGAGAAGATTCACTCACTGAAGCAAAACAGCACTCCAGAGGAAATGACTTAGTATCGAATTACTGAGGCACCTTAACGCTGCTACATTGACTACAACATAGTTCTGGCTGGTTTGGTGTGCAAACATCTTTTCTTCCGCCACCAGGGCCATCCCTAAGGGGATGCCCCGCGAGGGACCACCCCCCACGTACAGCATGGCCCCTGCTCACTCTGCCCTTCATGACGCCCAAGTTCCCCTGTCTGCCAAGGACAGGGGTCCGAGCTGCCACCTGAGTGCCTGGGGTCCCAGCTGCTGCCCTGCCCACCACAAGGCTCAGGCTGGCGGCCCTGCGCCGGGGTCTGGGCTGCCGGCCCCCGCTGCCCGGCTCCGCGCTCTGCGGGGCTCGGGCTGCCAGCCCCCACTGACTACTGGGGCTCAGGCTGCCGGCCCCTCCGCTGTCCGGAGCTCAGCTGCCCGCGCCGCAGGGCTCGGGCTGCTGGCCCCTCCGCTGTCCGGAGCTCAGCTGCCCGCTCTGTGGGGCTCGGGCTGCCGGCCCCTCCGCTGTCCGGAGCTCGGCTGCCCGCTCTGTGGGGCTCGGGCTGCCGGCCCCTCCGCTGTCCGGAGCTCGGCTGCCCGCTCAGCGCTCCACGGGGTTCGGGTTGTTTGCTCCACAACCGGGTCCCACCTGCTGCCTCCCATGCCCCGGATCCTCTGGCTGCCATTAAGGAAATTTTTCTGGCAAACCCCCTGTAACATTGTGCCAGCTCCAGTTTGGGAACCACTGGCTTAGGTAGACGCTAGGTAAGATAGGCTACACAATAAAATGGCATGAGCCCTCATCACAGAAAAGCAGAGGAAGTATCAACTGAGATGAATGAGTCATGTGCGACGAGATGTGGGATATGCTGGCTAGAGAATATATGAATTAGTAGCTGTGGGACATGAGGAATACCTAGAAAAAGGTGGTTTGAGATGCTGAAGGAGGACATGAAAGTTGGTGTCAGCTTGTTAGATGCACTGGACAAGAATGCTTGGAGACTAAGAGCCGACACCAAACTGATGGGACATGGTGGACTTCAAGTTTAAGTTAAATTAAAATTCTTAAAGTTTCTTACCTTCATATAATGTTTTTGTATCTGAGCTGGGTATTACTTCTGCTTGCTCCTGGTCGTGGTTTACTGGAGAAAGTAAGTTACTTTCTGAAGAAACAATTTGTCCATTACTTGAGTTGGTGGACTGTAAACGGCTCCTCAAAGATACAGGTCGGTAGGTCTTCAATCCACGCTGAAGAAAGTGATTATCAGTGCACAGCAAAGATAGAACTGAAAGCTCATCCAACTGCATCCATGTTCTGTGAGTTTTTCTCAGTCGCTGAATAGAATTAGCAACATAACTTGTTTTCACCGATGAGCACCATATGCTTATCTGCCGAGCCCAAAAAGCCATCTTCTACATAAATACAGTTCCCTGCTAAGGAAAAGGAGCACTTAATTATAGGGAGAAAATTGTCAGGAATAAAGCAATACATTTCACTGTTCACACAAACTAGGATGAAAGTTTAGGAAGTAGCTTTGTCAAAATTAAAGCAGAAGTAGGTCTGTGCTATCTAATGTCATTCAGCTGCCTCAAATTTACAAATGTGATATCCTAGAAAATACATAATTGAACACAATAAAAATTATTTAAAAATCTCAAACTGAAATTGTTTCCCTTAAGTGTGTTAATTCTCAATAATCTCTTTATGAAAAAAAGAGAGAATCAGGGCACAATGTCAAGTCTCTTGATGGGGCACTGCCAGACTGTCCTTTGGTTCCGTGTTTGTACGAGCACATAGCACAGGGACGTCCTGGTCCACGACTAAAGCTCCTAGGTGTTATGCTAATACACACAAATTAATTATAACAGTAACACATTTAGTCTGGTTATGAGCATGCAATGAATACTGTATCTTGAAAGACAAGGCAGCTCCCCCTAGCCCAACAGGTACATTGCTCTCTTAGGGCAGGTCTTCACTACAGGGGGGGTCGATTTAAGATACGCAAATTCAGCTACGCGAATAGCATAGCTGAATTTGACGTATTGGAGCCGACTTACCCCGCTGTGAGGACGGCAGCAAAATCGACCTCCGCGGCTCCCCGTCGATGGCACTTACTCCTACCTCCGGTGGTGGAGTAAGCGCGTCGATTCGGGGATCGATTGTCGCGTCCCGACGAGACGCGATAATTCGATCCCCGAGAGATCGATTTCTACCCGCCGATTCAGGCGGGTAGTGTAGACCTAGCCTTAGGCTATGGCTACAGTAGAGAGCTTGCAGCAGTGCACCCCCAATGCAGCTATGTTAAGGGGAGAAGCTCTCCGGCCAAGGTAGCGCAGTCCACACCAGTGCTTAAGTCGGTGTGACTCATGTCACTCAGAGGGGTGGCTTATTCACATGCCTGAGCGACATAAGTTATACCAACGTAAAGTTATACTATGTGCTACTGCTCTCAGACAGATCCCAGAGCTAGGACCGTGCCAAGGACACTCAGCTCCCCGGGACACATGAAGCAGGAGCACCCAGCAGACCTATAGATAATGCAGCGCTTAAAGTGGTCTGAAAAAAGCAGGAGGGTCTGACTCTAACATAACCCCAGTCAAAGTAAAGTGTCATGCCCAGGAATCAAACAATTCTCAATTTCTTGCACTACAGTATCACATGCAACCGTTAGCTCATAAAGCCCCTTACAAATATCTATTGTCACTGTTTTTAAGTGAGACAACAGGCCTCATACAAGTAATTAAAACCCAAGACATCCTAGGACTGGGGGGCGCAGGGACGCTCAGACCGTGCCTGGGTTGCTGCCTCTGCCCTCCCTGGCGCGTCCGTGCCCGGAGCCCGGCTCTGAGCCTGTCCCCCCGAGGTGCTGGGCTGGCAGGAGGCCCGGTCCGTGCCCCAGCGCGGCTAGCCTCGACCCCAGACACAGGCCCTGCGGCGCTGGGCGGCGGAGGGACGGAAGCGGGGCTGTGAGGCGGCCCCACTGGTAGAAGCCCTGCGGCCTAAAGTGCCAGGCTGAGCTGAGGGAACCGACGCAGCATAGCGCCGGCCCTGACTCCGGCCGCGGCCCCGCAGCCTGCCCCCGGCCCAGCTCCAGCCGCGGGCCCAGCCGGGTGACCACGGCGGGGAAGGTCTCACCTGAGGAGGAGGCGGCGGCGAAGCCTTGGGCCGCGCCACTGGCTCCTCCTGTCGCCCCGCCCCCTCCCAGCCGGTCTGCGCGCAGCTACCCTGCCTCGCCCGCCCCCTTCCCTCACGTCCTGCAGAGGCGCTTCCTGCCCGGGCGAGACCATCTGCTGGCGGGTGGGGGTTGATACTCTCTTCCCTCTCCCCGCGCAGTAATTCTCCGCCCCAACCCCCCCGCCTCGGCGGGGCCTCGTCCCCGCGCCCGTTTGGTCCCGCGCGCCCAGGCCCCCGGGCGGCGAGAGCGCTTCTCCCTCCCGCGGGCGGCCTCCCCAGCAGCAGCAGCTGAGCAGAGCAGGCGGCCGGGCCGGGCGGCGCCGCGCGGGGAGATGGCGTCCTGCGTGGGGAGCCGGACCCTGAGCAAGGACGATGTGAACTACCGACTGCACTTCCGCATGATCAACGAGCAGCAGGTGGAAGACATCACCCTGGAGTTCTTCTACCGGCCCCACACCATCACCCTGCTGAGCTTCACCATCCTCAGCCTCATGGCCTTCGCCTTCACCCGGTGCGCGGGGCAGGGGCAGAGTGAATGGGGGACGGGGGCTGTCCAGAATGAATGGGGGAAGGGAGGATGAATGGGGGAGGGACTGGATGGGAGGAGCGAGCCAGGGAAGGTTACTTAGCTAGGCGTGAAGGTTGCCAGGCTAGGCGACAGGCCAGTAGCTCAGTGACTTGTGGAGGCGCAGCCCAGCTGGGGGACAGTCACACCGGGATGGGTTGGTCTCTACCATGCGCCAGGTTTTATTTTTTGTAAAAAAGAAAAAAAAAATTACGAGCTGTTATTTTGAACATGGCTACAGAGCGACTGGGGTTCTGCACCTCTGCTGGAGTTTGCCCCCCGCCCTCTCTGGATGCTGTCAAGGCATCCCTGCCAAGTATTACTTCTGTCCTGGACTCCTAAAAATACCCATAAAGAGAAGGTATATATTTTTTTGCCTTTGGAAAGCACCTGAGTGCAGCAGGAGGATGCATCCTAGACTGTCGTACTAGGGCTTTATTCAAACTGGCATTCATTCACCTTGCCTGGTGTTTTTTATGCACAGGGTAAATCTGAAGTACAATCATTTGGGTTTGCTGTATGTTTGGTTATAGACTCATAGACTCATAGACTCATAGACTTTAAGGTCAGAAGGGACCAATATGGTCATCTAGTCTGACCCCCCGCATGATGCAGGCCACAAAAGCTGACCGCCCCACTTCCCCTTAGCTCTGCTGTTGAAGTCTCCAGATCGTGATCTAAAGACTTCAAGTTGCAGAGAATCTTCCAGCTTGCGACCCCTGCCCTATGCTGCGGAGGAAGGCGAAAAACCTCCAGGGCCACTGCCAATCTACCCTGGAGGAAAATTCCTTCCCGACCCCAAATATGGCGATCAGCAGAACCCCGAGCATACAGGCAAGATTCTCTAGCCAGACCCTCTGTCATAACTATGAAGGGAAGGGTAACAGCTCTCTGTGTACAGAGACTCCAAATCCTTTTACCTGTAAAGGGTTAAGAGGCTCGGGTAACCTGGCTGACGCCTGACCCGAAGGACCAATAAGGAGACAAGATACTTTCAAATCTTGGGGGGGGGGAAAGGTTTGTGTGTGTGCTCTTTGTTTTAGGGGTGGTTCGCTCTTGGGACTGAGAGGGACCAGACATCAATCCAGGTTCTCCCCATCTTTCTAAACAAGTCTCTCCTATTTCAAACTAGTAAGTAAAAAGACAGCAAGGCGTCTTAGATTTACTTTGTTTTCTCAACTTGTAAATGTACCTTTTTACCAGAGTGTGTATCTTTGTTTGCTGTACTTTGAACCTAAGACAGAGGGGGGTCCTCTGAGCTCTTTAAGTTTGATTACCCTGTAAAGTATTCTCCATACTGATTTTACAGAGATGATTTTTACCTTTTTCTTTAATTAAAAGCCTTCTTTTTTTTAAGAACCAGATTGATTTCTCCTTGTTTTAAGATCCAAGGGGGTTTGGATCTGTATTCACCAGGAGTTGGTGAAAGGAGGGTGGAGGAAGGAGGGGGGATGGTTAATTTCTCCTTGTTTTAAGATCCAAGGGGGTTTGGATCTGTGTTCACCAGGGAATTGGTGAAAGGTTTCTCAAGGCTTCCCAGGGAGGGAATTCTTGTGATGGTGGCAGCGGACCAAAGCTAAGCTGGTAGATAAGCTTAGAAGTTTTTATGCAGGCCCCTACATTTGAACCCTAAAGTTCAAAGTGGGGATCCAGCCTTGACACCCTCATTTTACCAGCGATGGCCGTTATTGCCTAATTGATTAGAATCCCGTAATCCCATCAAACCATTCCCTCCATAAACTTGTCTAGCCTAATCTTGAAGCCAGAGAGGTCTTTCGCCCCCACCGTTTCCCTCGGAAGGCTGTTCCAAAATTTCACCCCTCTGACGGTTAGAAACCTTCGTCTAATTTCAAGCCTAAATTTCCCCACGGCCAGTTTATATCCATTCGTTCTCGTGTCCACATTAGCACTGAGCTGAAATAATTCCTCTCCCTCCCTGGTATTTATCCCTTTGATATATTTAAAGAGAGCAATCATATCCCCCCTCAGCCTTCTTTTGGTTAGGCTAAACAAACCAAGCTCCTCAAGTCTCCTTTCATAGGAAAGGTTTTCCATTCCTCGGATCATCCTAGTTATGTACCTGAGATCTTCATTACTGAATACATATTTTGAGTCAACCTCTCAAATTCAGATTATTTTAAGTGCTGATACTGTAGATAAAGACAAGGCATCTCTTGTGATAGTGATACTAGTCCCTTTTATCATAACAGAAGACGGTGCTGTTAAGTCTGTTGTACGTTTCTTTTTCCTATTTCTTGATGGAGAAGGTAGTGTACAGTGGAGGGAGGGTGGGTTTGTTTGTTTTTTTACCATACTCACTGGTAAATTTCTTCAGGATTAGTGAGAGTGAGCTGTAATAGATCTTATCAAACCATAGCTGTGGCATCAAAATAAGACTTTGTTTTGGCCTTTTTCAATGAGCTTAATCCAAATTACAATGTGTCTTAAAAAGTATTATATCTCTAGCAAGATATAGAGTATCAGGTACTAGAAATGATTCATATCCCTTTTTTTTAACAAACAAACAACAAAGCTTGCTCTCAGTACCATAAAGTCTAACTCTGTGTGATTTTTTCAGTGTTATTTAGTTGCCTACCATGTTTTTGTAAACCATCAGTTGAAGTCTTCCTTGAAGTGAACATAGTTCTTAAGCAGTTATCTGGGACTTATTTTTATTAAATAAAAAAGTTATCAACTACACCATTTCTTGTATAGCATCACATCTTTTGCTTATTGAACACTATTGTTTTATGCAGTCATTTTTGTAAATTTTTTCTTCTATAGAGACACCACTGGTAATGTGAAGGCTTAAGCCCTGATCCTGCAAACACTTATTCAGGTGCTAACATTACTTCTGTGAGTAGTCCCAGTGAAGTCGCTGGGGCTGTTCACAGAAGTAAAGCTAAGCATATGCATAAGTGTTTGCAGGATTGGGGTCTTATTTGTAATCAGTAGCGGTCCACTCATGCAGAGGTCCTTGCAGAAATGGGGCCAGTATATATGTGCATATGTCTATGCGCCAATGTCTCCTCCTGAATAGGGTCACACTCTTGCTCATGTATTTGTGATTCTCCTTTGGCTTGGTGATTGCTAGAAACCTGTATTTCCTGAGCAGGAGTTTGTGAATTCTCTTCACTATAGACGCAACCCTGCAGTCCTTAGTCAAAGTACACTAATTTCAGTGGGGGTTTTGCCAAAGTAAGCCTTGGAGGATTTGAACTCCTGTTTACTGTTTACTGTTGTTGATCGTGGTGACATTGTATGTATATGGTCACAGATTACAACTAGACGTTTTTTATTACTGATTGAACACCAACAGAGATTTACAGAGAAGAGAACCACTACTTTTCTCAGGGATGATAAAAAAAAAAAAAACATGTAATTTGATAGCTTTGATTTTGAGAATATAAATGTATAGCTAATCGTTAAATTACAAAGGTAACAAAATAAATCTTGTAAAACTGGGAAGGGGGTGTGTGTGTGAGAGAGGAAATGTTTGTTTGTGAGAGAGGAAAATCAAAAATCTAATTAGAAACTCCCAACAAAATGCATCCCTTTCCTATTACTACCTGTGTGGCACTCAACAAGATACATTTGATAAAGTGCGTCCCTTGTTCTCATCAAAGTATCAACATTTACTGTCATTTGTAACTTGGGTAAGATGGCCCAGAGACCCCTTTTTTTAAATCTTGGCTATGACCCTGTATCTCCATATTCTGTTGCATAAATAGTTCCGTATTAGTGCTATCATTGCCTAAAACTATCCTTGGACAAAGCCAACTGATTATTCTGTTAGGGCACAATGCTGTGAGATGCTGAGCGTATCTTGGAAGACTGGGTCCTTGGGACTGATGATTCACCCAGGGGGAAAAAAGAAATGCTTAGTCCTTACGTTTTACCAAATAAAGGGTGGGTTGGGCTACAGTTCAGATCTACTGTCCTCAAGACACAGAACATTAACTAGGTGCTCAGATACTTGCTTTTGGATATATTTGTCGGTTTTCTTTTTCTTTTTTTGTCTTTCTCTGTTGTCACTTTTTTCCTAGCTCCGGTTTCTTCCTCTTTTGTCCTCCCCCCCTTTTTTTTTCTTCTGCTCCCTTTAATTTCCAGTTCATTTCAACTGCCTGTTGACATCTCTTCATCTCTCCTTGTTTCTCTCTCTCTTTTTTCTCAAAGGATGGGGGATGACAGCTCTCATGTTTTCCTTCATTTTCTCCTCACTTGTCACTACCAACTGCCATGAAAACTTATAGACTCATAGACTTAAAGGTCAGAAGGGACCATTATGGTCATCTAGTCTGACCTCCCGCATGATGCAGGCCACAAAAGCTGACCCACCCA